AGCAGATGTAGTGGACTCAGGAGAAGTTGCTTGCGTTGTGGTGTCTGTAACACTTGTGACAGTTGTGTCTCGCACAGTAGTAGATGCATCAGATATGGGACTGGTGCCAATAGTTGGAGCAGATGTAGTGGACTCAGGAGAAGTAGTTGCTCGGGAGGTGGTGTCTATAACATGTGTCACAGTTGTGTCTCCGGATGTAGTAGATGCATCAGGGGTGGGACTAGTGGCAATAGTTGTAGGAGATGTAGTGGACTCAGGAGTAGTAGTTCCTTGGGAGGTAGTGTCTGTGCCACTTGTGACTGTTGTGCCGTCTACTGTAGTATGTGCCTCAGATGTGGTGGTGGGACCAGAAGTTGTGGCAGATGTAGTGGACCGAAGAGAAGTAGTTCCTTGGATGGTGGTGTCTGTAACCCTCGTGACAGTAGTGTCTCCTCCAGTAGTAGATGCTTCAGATATGGGACTGGTGCCAATAGTTGTAGCAGATGTAGTGGACTCCTGAGGAGTAGTAGGTGCTTGGGTGGTGGTATCTGTGACACTCAGGGTAGTGGTGTCTCCTACTGTAGTAGAGACTGGAGATGTGGTGGTGTCACCAGAAGCAATGGCAGATGTGCTGGACTCAAGAGGAGTAGTTGCTTGGATAGTGGTGTGTGTAACCCTTGTCAGAGTTGTTTCTCCTGCCGTAGTAGATGCGTCAGGTGTGGGACTAGTGGCAATAGTTGTAGCAGATGTAGTGGACTCAGGAGGAGAAGTTGCTTGGGTTGTGGTGTCCATAACACTTGTGACAGTTGTGTCTCCTGCAGTAGTAGATGCATCAGATATAGGACTGGTGCCAATATTGTTAGCAGAGGCGGTGGACCCAAGAAGAGTAGTTGATTGGATACTAGTGTGTGTAATCCTTGTCACAGTTGTGTCTCCTGCTGTAGTAGATCCGTCAGGTAGGGGACTAGTGGCAATAGTTGTTGCAGAAGTAGTGGACTCAGGAGTAGTAGTTCCTTGGGAGGTGGTATCTGTACCACTTGTGACTGTTGTGCCTTCTACTGTAGTAAGTGCCCCAGATGTGGTGGTGGGACCAGAAATTGTGGCAGATGTAGTGGACCAAAGAGGAGTAGTTGATTGGATAGTGGTGTGTGTAATCCTTGTCACAGTTGTGTCTTGTGCCATAGTTGATGCATCAGGAGTGGGACTAGTAGCAATAGTTGTAGCAGATGTAGTGGACTCAGGAGTAGTAGTTCCTTGGGAGGTGGTGTCTGTAACACTTGTCACAGTTGTTCCTTCTACTGTAGTAAGTGCCTCAGATGTGGTGGTGGAACCAGAAGTTGTGGCAGATGTAGTGGACCCAAGAGGAGTAGTTCCTTGGATGGTGATGTCTGGAACCCTCGTGACAGTAGTTTCTCCTGCAGTAGTAGATCCTTCAGATATGGGACTAGTGCCCATAGTTGTAGCAGATGTAGTGGAGTCAGGAGGAGTCGGTGCTTGGGTGGTGGTGTCTGTGACACTCAAGATAGTGGTGTCTCCTACCATAGTAGATACTGCAGATGTGGCGGTGTCACCAGAAGCTGTGGCAGATGTACTAAACGCAGGAAGAGTAGTTGTTTGGGTATTGGTGTCTGTAACCCTAATCACAGTTGTGTGTCCTGCAGTAGTAGATGCTTCAGGTATGGAACTGGAGCCAAAAGCTGTAGGCGATATAGTGGATTCAGGAGGAGTAATTGCTCTGGAGGTGGTTTCTGTAATCCTTGTCACGGTTGTGTCTCCTGCAGTAGTAGATGCGTCAGATATGGGACTGGTGCCAATAGTTGTAGCAGATGTAGTGGACTCAGGAGGAGAAGTTGCTTGGGTTGTGGTGTCCGTAACACTTGTGACAGTTGTGTCTCCTGCAGTAGTAGATGCATCAGCTATAGGACTGGTGCCAATATTGTTAGCAGATGTGGTGGACTCAGGAGGAGTAGTTGCTTGGGAGGTGGTGTCTATAACCCTTGTCACAGTTGTGTCTCCTGGAGTAGTAGATGCTTCAAATATGGGACTGGTGCCAATAGTTGTAGCAGATGTAGTGGATTCAGGAGGAGATGTTGCTTGGGTTGTGGTGTCCGCAACACTTGTGACAGTTGTGTCTCGCACAGTAGTAGATGCATCAGATATGGGACTGGTGCCAATATTGTTAGCAGATGTGGTGGACTCAGGAGGAGTACTTGCTCGGGAGGTGGTGTCTATAACTTTTGTCACAGTTGTGTCTCCTGATGTAGTAAGTGCCTCAGATGTGGTGGTGGCACCAGAAGTAATGGCAGATGTAGTGGACCCAAGAAGAGTAGTTGATTGGATAGTGGTGTGTGTAATCCTTGTCACAGTTGTGTCTCCTGCCATAGTAGATGCGTCAGGGGTGGGACTAGTGGCAATAGTTGTAGCAGATGTAGTGGACTCAGGAGTAGTAGTTTCTTGGGACGTGGTGTCTGTAACACTTGTCACAGTTGTTCCTTCTACTGTAGTAAGTGCCTCAGATATGGTGGTGGGACCAGAAATTGTGGCAGATGTAGTAGACCCAAGAGGAGTAGTTCCTTGGATGGTGGTGTCTGTAATCCTCGTGACAGTAGTGTCTCCTGCAGTAGTAGATGCTTCAGATATGGGACTGGTGCCAATCGTTGTAGCAGATGTAGTGGACTCAGGAGTAGTAGGTGTTTGAGTGATGGTACCTGTGACACTCATGGTAGTGGTGTCTCCTACTGTAGTAGATACTGCAGACGTGGTGGTGTCTCCAGAAGCTGTGGCAGATGTACTAAATGCAGGAAGAGTAGTTGTTTGGGTGTTGGTGTCTGTAACCCTAGTCACAGTTGTGTGTCCTGCAGTAGTAGATGCATCAGGTGTGGGACTAGTGGCAATAGTTGTAGCAGATATAGTGGATTCTGGTGGAGTAATTACTTGGGAGGTGGTTTCTGTAATCATTGTCACAGATGTGTCACCTGCAGTAGTAGATGTTTCAGATATGGGACTGGTGCCAATAGTTGTAGCAGATGTAGTGGACTCAGGAGGAGAAGTTGCTTGGGTTGTGGTGTCTGTAACACTTGTGACAGTTGTGTGTCCTGCAGTAGTAGATGCATCAGCTATTGGACTGGTGCCAATATTGTTAGCAGATGTGGTGGACTCAGGAGGAGTAGTTGCTTGGGAGGTGGTGTCTGTAACCCTTGTCACAGTTGTATCTCCTGCAGTAGTAGATGCTTCAGATATGGGACTGGTGCCAATCGTTGTAGCAGATGTAGTTGACTCAGGAGGAGTAGGTGCTTGGGTGGTGGTATCTGTGACACTCAAGGTAGTGGTGTCTCCTACTGTAGTAGATACTGCAGATGTGGTGGTGACACCAGAAGCTGTAGCAGATGTACTAAATGCAAGAAGAGTAGTTGTTTGGGTGTTGGTGTCTGTAACCCTAGTCACAGTTGTGTGTCCTGCAGTAGTAGATGCTTCAGGTACAGACATGGTGCCAAAAGCTGTAGGCGATATAGTGGATTCAGGAGGAGTAGTTGCTCTGGAAGTGGTCTCTGTAACCCTTGTCACAGTTGTGTCTCCTGCGGTAGTAGATGCGTCAGATACGGGACTGGTGCCAATCGTTGTAGCAGATGTAGTGGACTCAGGATGAGTAGGTGCTTGGGTGGTGGTATCTGTGACACTCTTGGTAGTGGTGTCTCCTACTTTAGTAGATACTGTAGACGTGGTGGTGTCACCAGAAGCTGTGGCAGATGTACTAAACACAGGAAGAGTAGTTGGTTTGGTGCTGGTGTCCGTAACCCTGGTCACAGTTGTGTGTCCTGCAATAGTAGATGCTTCAGGTATGGAACTGGTGCCAAAAGCTGTAGCCGATATAGTGGATTCAGGAGCAGTAGTTGCTTGGGAGGTGGTTTCTCCAATCCTTGTCACAGTAGTGCTTCCTGCAGTAGTAGATACGTCAGATATGGGACTGGTGCCAATAGTTGTAGCAGATGTAGTGGACTCAGGAGGAGTAGTTGCTCGGGAGGTAGTGTCTATAACATGTGTCACAGTTGTGTCTCCAGATGTAGTAAGTGCCTCAGATGTGGCGGTGGCACCAGAAGCAATGGCAGATGTAGTGGATCCAAGAGGAGTAGTTGCTTGGATAGTGGTGCGTGTAATTCTTGTCACCGTTGTGTCTCCTGCCATAGTAGATGTGTCTGGTGAGGGACTAGTGGCAATAGTTGTAGCAGATGTAGTGGACTCAGGAGTAGTAGTTCCTTGGGAGGTGGTGTCTGTAACGTTTGTCACAGTTATGCCTTCTACTGTAGTAATTGCCTCTGATGTGGTGGTGGGACCAGAAGTTGTGGCAGATGTAGTGGACCCAAGAGGAGTAGTTCCTTGGATGGTGGTATTTCTAACCCTTGTGACAGTAGTGTCTCCTGCAGTAGCAGATGCTTCGGATATGGGACTGGTACCAATAGTTGTAGCTGATGTAGTGGACTCAGGAGTAGTAGGTACTTGGGTGGTGGTATCTGTGACACTCATGGTCATGGTGTCTCCTACTATAGTAGATACTGCAGACATGGTGGTGTCACCAGAAGCTGTGGCAGATGTACTAAACACAGGAAGAGTAGTTGTTTGGGTGTTGTTGTCTGTAACCCTAGTCACAGTTGTGTGTCCTGCAGTAGTAGATGATTCAGGTGTGGAATTGCTGCCAGAAACTTTAGCCAATATAGTGGATTCAGGAGGTGTAGTTGCTCGGGAGGTGGTTTCTGTAACCCTTGTCACAGTTGTGTCTCCTGTAGTAGTAGATGCATCAGATATGGTACTGGTGACGATAGTTGTAGCAGATGGAGTGGACTCAGGAGCAGTAGGTGCTTGGCTGGTGGTGTCTGTAACACTTGTCACAGTTGTTCCTGTTGTGGGAGGAATTGACTCAGTTATTGAGGTGTCAACAATAAGTATAGTAACTGTGCTAGTCTCTGTAGCAATAATCACTGATGTTACAGTGTCAAGCATAGTCGTTACAGGACTGCTTCCATCTGTAGGAGTTGCATGAGATGTGGTTGTGTCACTAAGATTTGTACCACTGGTGTTGGACCCAGAACAACTCACAATTTGCCCTATGTCAGTACCCCTTGTAAGTATCATTTTCTCTGTAGATGTAGAAACAGATATAGTAGCATCATGTGAGTTCTTGGGAAATTTTTAAAATGCAGATTTAATTTATTTGATTTATCAAGTTTCTTGTGTATTTGGAATGATTTTCTTTATTAATGAGACAACTGAAGTCCTTAAACAGGAAATAGAGTATACTTATTTTAAAGTATTTTAGTTTTTGCTGTTAAGCAAACATAGAACAGAACATACACCAATTTAGTAATGTATACATCTATAATAGGAGCTCTGGTAGCTTACTGCCTAAGGCACTTGACTGCTAACCAGAAGGCTGGCGGTTCAAACCCACCAGCCACTCCTTGGAAGGGAGGTTGGGCAATCTACTTCTGTAGTGATACTGCCTCAGAAACCCAAGGAGCGGTCACTATGAATCAGGTCTGACTCGACAGCACATAACAACCGCAACAAGAACATCTATAATTCAATGACACTGAATGCATTCTTTAAGTTGTGCAACCAGTCTCACTCCCATTTTATGAATTGTTTTCCTTCCTTAACATAACCCACCCCCTAAACTTCCTATCTGATCTTTTGAGTTGCTGTTTTCAGCTTGATCCCATATTGATAGTTCTTAGAAAATAAAACACATTAATTTTATAAATGCAGTTTCAGATGTTGAAAGGTATTTAATTAGCAAAGTATGTAACAGAGATTAAACACTATGAAAGGCCCTCTATGAACACTATGAAACAGTGAGTGCTGGGCTTCTGCCTCTGTCTAAGAGTAGCAGGATCGGATTTACCATCTGAACTGAAACAACCAAAACAAGGAGGAGGAAAAAGAAGAGGAGGAGGAGGAGAAACACAAAACCATACAAAAAATGTGAATCAGTTATTTTCAACACACCAGATGTGCAATGAAGGATAGTGATTCCTGAGACAGCCATCAAATGAAGTGAGAGTGCAGTTGCCCCAGCTTACTGACTTAAGAAAGTTTCTGGGCAGCAATACAAACAGAACAAACCCAGGTGGAGCCTAACTGACTCCCAGCGTTGCGGAGTTGCACCTGAGCATCTGGGGAGACTTACACAGCTCTAGTTCGTAGGAAAGAGTTACTAGCCAGGAGAGAGCTGTACAGAATCCCCAGAGACCTGCAGAGAGCCCTCCTTGAATATTAAACACAGTGATCAGTGTGTATGGAGGAAGAAGCTAACCAAGACCAGGGGAAAAAACTCAACCCAACGCACTGCCTTGGAGTTGATTCAGATGATAATGACCCTGTAAATCTTTCTGGAAGCAGACTGCCTCATCTTTCTCCTGGGGAGCAGCTGGTGGGTTGATCACCACCAACCTCTTGATTAAAGCCCAATGCTTTAACCACTGTGCCACCAAAGCTCCTTCAAGACCAGGGAAAGACCATCTAAAATGATTAGACGGAATAAATTTAAAAAAATAAATAAAAATAAAATGATTAGATGGAACAGGGCCTGGCTTTTACACTGGGATGGGAACTGTGCCTGCTCCCCCTAGCTGTACTGAAAAACCTCATTACTCACAGGGCATGGATTGACTAGAGTACTGGATGGTCTTCCTTAAGTAGTGGAGATAATCAGAACCTATACTGAGCCTTTCTCACTTGTTGTTGTTAGGTGCTGTCGACTTGGCTCTGACTCACAGCGGCCCATGTACAACAGAATGAAACACTGCCCAGTCCTGTGCCAGCCTTACAGTACTTGCAATCATAAAAGCAAGAGCTGAAGGGATTAAACTATTTTCAAGTAACTCAACTGCCTCCCAGAACAAGATGCAAGATTTATAGGAATACAGAAATGTCCAGCACCTGACAAGGTGAAATTCACAATGCAAAGCTCACCAGGCATGAAGAAGCAAGACAATATGACCCATAACAAGGAGCATAATCGATCACTTGAGACCAATCTAAATGGACACAGATGTTAGAACTATCAGAGAAAGACACTGACCCAGTCTTTATGGTTGAATTCTGTCCATGTAGAAAGTTAGACAGAGATATGAAAGATATAAAAAGAGATCCAAATTGGACTTCTGGGATAAAAACAAAGCTTGGACTTTATTAAAATTTAAAATTCTGCTCTTCAAAAGACACTCCTAAGAGAATCAAAAGACAGGCCACAGACTAGGTTCACAAAAGGCAAAAGAATCATGAGCTGGTCATTGGAAGTGTTCTTTTTTTTTTTTTTTTTTTAAATTATGATTGGGGTGAAAATTTACAGAGCAAATTCACTTTCCATACAGCAGTTCACACACACTTTGTCTCATGACATTGACTACAATTTCCCACAATGCAACAGCTCCCCTCCCACTTCCTCCCAATAGTTACCTCTTCCCTGTGTCCTTTCCTCCATGCACTCCTGCCCCCTGAGCTGTCTCCCTGTGCATAAGCAGGAAGTGTTCATTTTTTATTGATTAGTTTTTAACAGTTGTTTGCTTAGAGCTGGAGCCTAAATTTTTAGAGTTACAGAAGCACTCAAAATGTTTTAGAAATTTTTAGATAATATATTATTCTTGCAACTTTTGGTAAGTTTGATATTTTTCAAAGTAAAAAGTTGGAAAAAAAAATATTTCAAGGAATGTAAAACTCAACACAGTAGAAGGAAACTACCAAGCAACTCCCTATTCTGAAAAATAAACTATTGAAAGAGACAATAAACCATTTGCAAATGCCCCCTTCCATGATGTACCTAAATTGTCAATTTTAGTAGGTAAGCACTTTGTGACTGGGAAATGTGTTTCTTGAACAATATTTTTGGATCGATTGAAAAAATCCAATTTAACTGGTGAAACCCCCAAGACTATGGCTCCAAGTCACCCTTAGAGCTTGGAGTTGAACTCGCTCCAGTGGCTTAACTTTCAGGCCTACAAGCCAAACAGCTACACCAGGGAGATCCACTCCTTAGAACAATCAGCCCTGGAAGATCAGAAGGGCAGCATTTGCACAGGGAGAAAGGTAGGGAGGCAGGAATGCATTGGCAAGGGCACAGGGAAAGGGTAACCACAAGGAAGAAGTGGGAAGAGCGGTACCACACTGCAGGGAATGTAATCAATGTCAGAACAAAATGTGCATGAACTGTTGAATGTAAAATGAATCTGCTTTGTAAAATTTCACCCAAATCACAAAAAAAGTTTTTTAAAAAAATCCAATTTATTTTCAGTCAAGCCCTAGAGCCAAGACTGGCTTCAGGTACGCTTGATGTGTGCAGTCCACAGAGCCTCGCACAGAGAAGAGCCCCAAGATTGGTTTAATACCTTGCTGTCGTCATCATCTTTACATTGTCAGTAATCTTTGAACAAAGGCCCACACTTTCATCTGCACCAACCCTGCAAATTGTATACCCATTCCTGCCTACAGCCAGGTGAGGCACTTCAGACCCACCATCTGGCAGCTACAAGTTGCCTGGAGTGGTTCAGTTGGTGAGATACCAGTGGCCAGGGTCAGCTCTCCTACCTCATAGCACAGAGCAGTTCCACTGAGGCAGCAGAGTGCTCTAGTGGCTCCCAGACTGGCTGTCCTTGTGGACAGGATTGCCAGAGGGCCCACACTGGGCAGCGGGTACTACTGGCACCAGCTCATCCTTATCGATCCCTGGGCCTGGCTTGGCTCTGGGAAGTAAATTGGGGCAGTTATAGGAGCCTCAGGGCTCATGGTCACCCGAGCTTGAAAGTTTTAACTGGTGGGTCCTACATGATTACAGGAAGGACCATGTCACTTGCCAAACTACTAAAACAGTAGTAGGTGGCCTCTGCCCCTAAGTGCTACCCATCTCAGGGACCTCAGAATCTCCTCTTGCCCACATCCTAACAACATAAGGACCAATGGTTAGCTCAGCAGGGGTCCTGGACCCTTCTCTGGCTCTAAGGCCAATGTCCATCATATGAGACCCTTACCCCACCCAAAGCCTGTGCAGAGGTTGTGTTTCCCATCTCAGCAGCCAAGGCAGGGCTGCCAGAGTACAGACCAGTGGCCTTTGTCCCTGGCAGTGGGGTCCAAGTGCAAACAAGTGTGACGTCATCCTTGTCTCCTTGCACCCAAGGGAGAAAGCTGGAAAGCTCCCTGGGCACTGCCTAGCCCAGGCAGCAGGAAAATCTCTGCCCTTTCTGCCTTCCTCCTGCTGTTCCCCCATTGCCTTCTGTGGGGGAGGGACCCTCTCCCCTGGTGGAAGCTGGCAATCCCACATCATACTGAAAGCCCTTGGCACAGACTCCTAATAGGGCCTGCCCCTCTGACTCCCCAAGGGTGGGATACCTAAGAGGGAGAAGAGGCCTCAGAGATTTGTCGGAGTTGAAGTGGAGGAGGAGTCAGGCCTTGGAAAGCGGGGGTCATGTCACCATGCAGCAAGATTCAGTCCCACAGAATCCACTGAATGGGGCCTTTTTGTCACGTTGGAGTGTGTCCCTTAGATTTAGTAAAAGAAGGAGGAGAATGGTGGTGGGGACACAGAGTGGGCAGAAGAGCCTAGGACAGCATGGGCTTGAGGGTGGAAAGGGCAGAGGGACACATGTTCTGGATAGGTAACTGAGCTCCTGGCCTTGATTACCTCATGCTGGGTATGGGGGTGAGAGGGCGCGTGCCAGAGCAGGGCAGGGCTGAACCAAGAGGACACTGTATCACTGATGGGTAATATAATCAGAGTTTGCTGGAAGAGCAGTAGCTGCCAGAGGGTGTCTCTTCCTGGAAGGGCCAACACCACGGCCATTAGGCAATTCCTCCAGGCCCACACCCATTCTGGTATCCCCAGCCTCATATCCCTAAGGAGGGATGAAGCTCTGGGTCCCTCCCAGAGAGGATGTAAAAGGGTCAGATGTCCCTCAAAGTTGGCCGTGGCCCTACAGACCAGCCAAGGCCAGGCCCAGAAAGGGCTGGGTGACCATGGAATCCGGAGGTAGGAGTGGAGAGTTGGAAGCCTTCCATTTTACAGAGGGGGAGATTGAGGCTAGAGATGAATGGAACCTCACCAATCAGAATATGGGGAGAGGGCAAGAGAGGGAGAGGAAGAGGAGGGAAGAAGAAGAAAGGGGGGAGAGAGAGAAGAGGACAAAAAGAAAAAGAGCAGGAGGAGAAAGAAAGAAGAGGATAGAGTCGGGTGGAGGGGTGAGAGGGCCCAGGAAGATTTTCACCCATCACAGCCAATGAGTGCCCCATTTGAGATATGTTACTAAGGCTCTGGAAGGCATAGAAAGTGCCCCACAACAGCACATTGGGAGTCAGAGTCAGTTAATGATAGGGCTCAGGTCATGGAGCCAGCCTTCTAGAGCAAGGCCTCACACTAGGTCAGCCCTCACACTAGGTCAGCTTCCCTGTCTGTACCCATCCATTCTCCATCACCACCCAATCTACCCTCCAGTTGACCTCCAGCAGTTGGTGGGTTTGAGGCAAGGTGACCTGAAGTCCAAAGTTATGCTCAGGTATTGTTTCTCCACCCCTGCCCCCCACCACACACACATATTTCCTCCTTGGAGAAGAGCCAGCCAGCGTCTGGGGCCAGGGCTCCAGGAGACCCCACTTCCTCTAGCGTCATGAACTCAGGGCAGAACAAAGTCCAACGAGTGCAGGCTTGGATAATATCTACAGGGTAGGGCAAGAGACCTTCTGCTCTGTCTCCAGTTCCTCTCCCCGTCTCACCCATGTGGCCCCAAGGATGACTTCTCAAGGAAATGGGAACCTTGGTTGGTTTCTGCCTTGGTTCCCCTCCCTCTTTCTCTGAGGCCAAGAGCAGGTGAGGGGCAGAGGGCTTTCCTGAAGGGTCCAATCAGGGAGCCATTGCCATCCCCTGCTGACCTAAGCCTGGTCCCCATAGCCATGGACTCCAAGCAGCAAACTGGAGGCAGCCCAATTCCTGACTTTTAAAAGGGGGAGAAACAGTTTCAAGAGGAGTTGAGTTCCCCAAAGATTGGTGGCAGGCTTAAATCAGGGGCTCCATAAACTGTTTTGTGTCTGCTTGGCTATAGCGATGGCTTCTCCCCTGGTTCTGGGATGCCTGACAGTCCTGTGACATCTTCAGGACACAAAGCCAGATGGGAAGATGCAGAAATGACCAGGACAAAACTGAGAGTAAGCAGAGGTTTAAGCCCCTGGTCTTGTGTGCTGTGGGGAAGCCCCGGGCACGTGAACAGGAAGTTGGTGAAGGGGTGGGAGGTGAGAGAGGTTGGATGGGAGCATCGATGGGGCAAGGATAGACCCACACTGGCTGGAGCCCAGGGGTGCCATTCGGTCCTGGCAGTAATTGTGACAGGTTGTTGTTGTTGTTGTTGTTATGTGCCATCGAGTCGGCCCCGACTCATAGTGACCCCTCCTTGGGTTTCCGAGGCAGAATCGTGACAGGTAGGCATCACGATTCTCACTTTCTGGAGAGGAAACTGAGGATTGGAGAGGTGAGTGGAGGAGACGCAAGACAGAGAGGAGTGGAGATAGGACAGGACCTGGTCGTTGGCCACAAACCCCTGCCTCTTTCCCAAACCATGCTGGGAGAGGAGGGGAAGAGTGTGGGGCTTAGAGGGCATCACCCACCAGCAGCCAGAGAGGCTGGGGAAGGAGTCACTCACCTTGCGTGGTAGTAGTGGCTTGAGCGGGCAGGAGCTGGAGGACAAGGAGCAGCAGGCAAAGTGCCATTGTCACCAGCTTAGGCATCAGGACTTGGAGGGCTGCGCGCCTACCCTTCACACTCACCAGCGCTGTCAAAGTTCGTTGTCAGCCAAGGAACCCCAGAAATAAATGGGCCCCAGGAGCCCTTTGACCCCTGAGACACCAGAGATCTGGGGGCTGGCCCAAGTGTAAGTCAGTCTAGGAGCTTGCTGTTATGACTGGGGGTGCGGGGCCTGGCCTGGGCCAAAGGGCAGAGGGAGGGAAAGCCCCTCCCTGGGCGGCAGCCCAAAGACACGAAGAATGATTTCTCACTCAGGTAAAGGGGAGGTGACGTACACCTGAGGCAGCCTGGGGGAGCGAGGAGAAGACCCCTGGAGGGAGGTGGGAGGTGAACTGCCAGAGGATGCCAGGCCTGCCCAGAAAGAGAAGCAGGTCTCCCTGTGTTCCACACCAGCCCCTGGAGAGGAGACCCTGCCCTTCGTCCCTCTTCCCAAAGCCTCCTTACTGCCCCATGGAGACCCCACCAGAGCATGGGAGGCAGCCCTGGAATGGCTAGAAGTTCTTGGATCTGTAGGCCCAGGGCTCTGTGAGCTCAGAGGTGAGCACTGGGCCCCTGTGGCCATCTGGAGTGGCTTTGGCCCCACTTCACAGTCAGCAGAGCTAGGTGTTCACTCCTTTGCACCCCAGGAGCTCGCACTCTCCTTTGAGGTCTACTCTCTTCCCAGGCCCTGAACTAAGGGTCACACCAAGCAGACGGGGCCCTGGGTTGCCCTGCTGCAACAGGGCAGGGGCCCCGCCTGTGGACACAGGAAGGGTCCAAGCCCCCCAAGCTCATCTTCAACACTCAACCGTGGGAGGAGTGTTCTACCCAGAAGGCACCTCCCAGAGGCCCTGGCGCCGGAACCAGGCTCTTGCAGGGGGAAGGGAAGCAAAGCATTCACCACTCAGTCAGCGCAGACTCTGCACCTCAAGGGTGCTCTTTTATTTATGGGACATTCCAGAGTGAAGAGTCACCACAGAGCAAACAGGGATGCCCAGGTGATAAGGCAGCCCTGTGGCTCTTCGGTGGATGGGGCTAGGGCAGGGAGCTGTCTCACAGCCCCCACCCACCTTCCCAGCAGGTGCCTGGCAGGGACAGACACAGCAGCTCACTCCAAGGAGACTCTAGTCTCAGCCTTGGTTCCTCACTCTAGTTTCCTCTTGACCGAACCAGGGCATGGGTGGGGTTGGAGTGGGAGTAGCGTAAGGAGCAGAGGGATTTTTCCGCTTGCTCCTGTCTTGTCTTTGACATCCAGATGAATTATTCACTGAGCCGATGTCACCACCTTCGGCTTCTGCATGTGGAGCTGGGGGGTAGGAGAGACAAGGGTGAGGCCAAGGGGGCTTTGCATGATGGTTGGATCCTTCCAGTTCTATTACTGCTTCTAGAGTTGAGGGAGCCCCTCTCTGGGGAAAGGATGGGAGGTGACCAGGCAAGTGGTTGAGTTTGTCCTGCCCTCCCCAGACAGCCCCTGGGCGGTGAAGGATGAGAGCTGTGGGGAAGGGATAGCTCCTAGCTAGGGAGGGGTCCTGAGTCACCTCCGCAGTGCAGTCCACATTGTCCAGGGAGGGCCGGAAGTGGCTGTAAGTGGTATCAAGGCCGAATCTGTCCTTCAGATTCTTATCTGTAGGGAGAGGCACTGGGGTGAGAGGGCGCCTGGAGGAGGCTAGGGAAGCCCAGGGAGAGATTTGTTTTCCAGTAAAAAGAACAGGTTTTGAAGAGTCAGTCCAATATCTCCCTAAATGATTTTCCTACTGTCTGTCTTTCCGCCATTGATGGCCTTTTATGGGGCCTTGATGGTTGTGGCCAGCTCTGGGGAGCTGGCCAGTGTGGTCCAGGAACAGAGGAAGCAGCCTGAGAGGATCTGAGCAGCGCGAGGTCAAAAGTCATGGCTGTGCAAGGAGGTGGGGAGCAGGAGGAAGGGTTACTCAGTTAGCCGTAGCTTCCTCCTAGCAACGGTAACCACAGCAGACAACTTTGCTAGAACTTTTCCTGTTGCTTGGTCCTCACTGTGTGTGTTCATCATTCCCTATCTCAGTCCTACTGGGCTCAGTGCTGCCCCACCCCAGCAGATTGCCCTTCTTGGCTGCCAGGCCCACGGTTCTGGGCTCTCCCGGTCTCCCTGTACCTCTGGACCATCTCTTACTGGTTCCTGATGCTCTGTCTGCCCTTCACAGTGGCTCCATCCTCCTCTCTTCCCAATTGAAGAAGAGGAGCAGGAGAAAAGTCTAGAAGGCCAATAGGGGATGCTTATAGGGGGCCAGGAGGCCGCAGAACTTGGAGGATTCCCTGGGAGCCTTTGGAGGCAGCTTAGCAGAGAGGTGCACAAACCCAGCTGCCAGAGGAGGTGTGAGATGGGCTGGCAGGACACCCTTGTCACCCCCATGGCCACAGAACATCAGGGCAGTCAGTCCGGGTGCTCATGTCAGTCCTATAGCAACAGTGTGTGAGGATCTTCCCTCCTTTTTCCCACCCCCACCCTTGCCCTTGGTAGGCAGTACCTTCCCAGAAGCCTGTGTTCTGGAAACTTCCAGAGACATCTTCTTCTTGCCAATCATGAGACACATTGTACTCCTGCCTGCTAATAGAAATACCATGGGGCCTGTCAGCTGGTGGCAAGGAGACAGAGGAGAAGAGCTCAGCAGACTCTGATCCTCCACACTCAGGAATAGCAGGGGACAGTGTCACTGCCCTAGATGGTGACAGCAGCAAAGAATGAAGAGTCACATTGCCACAGCCTGCCCCCACGCAAGGCTCTGCCCTTCACTCCCCTATGTGGCCTTGGAATGTTCTCCTGGTTCCTCCCCATATGTTGTGTGATTCTCAGAGCATGTTCTGGCAGTGGCCTTGGGCACTGTCCAAAATGAGGACTCCTTCCATAACCTTGGGACATTCAGAGGCCAGCCAACCTGAGGTCCCTGCTCACATCCCCACTCTCTGGGCCTACAGTGATGGCTGCCTTGCCCAGGCCATCAGATGCTCACCTTTTCAGTCTTTTCTGGTATCGGCCCAGAAAGATGGCCAGGACAACCACTGTGACCACCAGTACCGCCACCACGGCTCCCACGCTCCCGTACACCAGGCTCTTGCTAGTGCTCCACTCGCAGGTCTCTCCCCAGTGCCAATGCGTGTTTGAGGTTGGGCACCTGGGGTACACACAAGCTTAGGGCAGGCCATCCCTCTCAGCCCGTCCCCCAAGAGAAAAAATAAATGTCTGAAGCACAGGAAACCAGCCCTCCCTCCAAGAGTCTCTGACTCCCTCAGGCTAATGGGCAGTGGGGGAGGAGGAAGGGGTAATGGGGAGGGGGGTTGCAGAGCAGGAGTTGAAATAGGTGTGGTTCAGAGGGACCTGAGAGTGTTGGGTGCCTTGTCTGAGATACATGATATTTACCCATTTAATCTCTGAGATACTGTTACATAAAACATATTTTATCAAGTTTCTTATCTTGCTTTTAGTTTATGGTCTTGAACTTAGAGCCCTGTACAGCTAGAGATGATAATGGCCCTGTGGCTGATATGACGTAAAGGAAATTGATGACTTAGATGTTGTTGTTGTCGCTGTTGTTAGGTGCCATTGGGCTGATGCTCACTCATAGTGACCCTAGTGGCAGAGTAGAACTATAATCTTTATTGGAGCACACTACTAGGTCTTCCTTCTGCAGAGCCATTGCGTGGGTTTGAACTACCAACCTTTTGGTTAGCAGCTGAGTGCTTACCATTTGCACCACTAGGGCTCTTTGAAGATATGTATATATACAGGCACAGAAAGAGAAACAGATACAGATTTGGAAGTTGATAACTCAGAATTTCTCAGAAAGAGGTTAATCAGTTCTAGGTGTCCATATCTAGGAATCTGACTGTGCCCCTCACTGAGGTGGAGAGTGGGGCATGGGAGACCAGGGAAAGAGAAGGGGGTTGTAGAAGAGGAAAGGACACCCAGGCTAGTGGGGAAAGAGGAGCAAGGAAGAAGGCACCTTCTGAGCTCTTCCCACCCCTACTCTGCCCTTCCTCCAAGACAGGGTGGATGCTGGGTTCATAGGGGCAGGCACTCACAGGCAGCGGGGGCCACTGCGCTGCAGCTGGCAGGTGCCCTGGTGACAGTCCAGTTGTGTCTTCGTCCCTGCAGTGCAGTTAGTCACACAGACCAGCCTGTTGTCCAGTTCATCCACATAGTAGAACTGGGCAAAGTCCTTTGGAGCTTTCCTCATGCACTGCTCTGGAGTGAGGAGCAGAGAGCAGACATCAGCCTAACTAAAGCACCCCGGATCCCCACACTTTACCACCTACAGTCTGCAACCCCCCAAACACTGCCCATGCTACTTACCCTTGGGGTCAAAGCTCAGTTTTGGGGTCTCATTCACGTCCGTGTCCACCTCACTGTAGCACAAGACTGAGGTTTCTGTCAAGGGCGGGTGGAAAAGGACAAAACAGGGGTGCTCTTTTCTGTCTCCTTGGGTGTAGCCAGGCCTCCCCTTTCTTCTCTGCCACACCCTTCACCAGGGGCCCATCCCAGACACACAGTGAGAGATCAAGGCTGATGACAACCCCAGCCTGGGCCTAGAAGGAGGGAAGGCAACCTGGACCTGGCCTCTGGAGTTCCAGAAGAGGTGAGTTGGGGAGGAGGAGGCTGAGACCTCTCTAAGGGCCCCTCTTGAATTTTCCCCACCACCATCAAGGGCTTTCTGGAGGGTGTACCTTGACACTTGTTAGGGTCCTGTAGCTTGGTGGTTTCATTAACAATCTTGGCCTTTACAGTCTTAATGAGGTCTTTAAGCACATCCTGAAAATCTAAAGTGTAGTTGATCTGGAGGATCACGTCATGTCTCACCACGATGCTGCCATTGCTGAAACCAGGATGGTCAACTCATCAGTTATGTCATGTTGCTAGCCTCCCAGCCAGTGGGGCCGGAGAAGGAAGAGGGGTGATGAGCCATATGACCCAGAGGCAGAATAGAACAGAGACCCTTCCCTTAAGTAGCTAGCAACCTAGAGGGCACTGGTCAGCTAACCAGTTTAACATCTTGGATTATCAGTGATGACAACAGATGTCAATGAGTGAAATATAAATCAACTAAATATTCCAGCAAAAGACAGAATGTTTTGGGGAACAAACAAACGAAAAAAAAAAAAAAAGATCCATCCCTTTGCTGTCTATAAGAAACACACCTTAGACATAAGGACACAGACTGAAAAATAAAAGAATGGGAAAAAATATCCCATGCAACCCATAACAAAAAAGAGCAGGGGTACCATACTTATATCAGTTAAAATAGACTTTCAATCAAAATCTATTACAAGTGATTAAAATAATAAATGGGTCAATCCAGCAAGTAGACATAACAATGATAAATATATATGCACCCAACAACAATGCTCTAAAATACATAGAACAAACACTGACTAATATGAAAGGAGAAATAGACCACTCCACAATAATAGTTGCTGTTGTTGTTATGTGCTGTCGAGTTGGCCTCAACTCATAAAACAAATAAAAGGATGTTCAGCATCATTCCAAAACTGAACCAAACTCATGGAGTCGGATCCGACTCATAGCGACCCCTCCTTGGGTTTCCGAGGCAGTATCACTATGGAAGGAGATTGCCCAACCTTCTTTCTGAGGAGTGGCTGGTGGGTTTGAACCACCAGCCTTCTGGTTAGTAGTCAAGTGCCTTAGGCACTATGCTACCAGAGCTCCTCACAATAATAGTAGGGAACCTTAACATACCACTTTCAATTACAAACAGAATATCTAAAAAGAATATCACTAAGGACATTGAGAACTGAAATAAAACCATAAGCCAATGGGACATGATGGATACATATAGAACACTCCACCCAGCAGCAAAACAACACATTCTTCTCTAGCACACATATATATAGACTATATGCTAGGACAGGAGCTCTGGTAGCATAGTGCCTAAGGCATTTGACTGCTAGCCAGAAGGTTGGCAGTTCAAACCCACCAGCCACTTCTCGGAAGGAAGGTTGGGCAATCTACTTCCATAGTGATACTGCCTCGGAAACCCAAGGAGGGGTCACTATGAGTCGAGTCCAACTTGATGGCACATAACAACAACAACATATGCTAGGACACCCACACAAACAAAAAAAGTAGAGGCTCTTGGATTGTTTTAAAAATTAAATAAGTGAGCTCTTTACCATGAAGAAGATGAGATCACTAGAAATATAACTTCCAACCCAGAAGTTTCTTATTAAACAGTTAATGATGCTGCTAAGGAAAGGGATCTGGAGGCAAAGTCTCTGGTCAAAGACATTGTGAGATGCTGAGTTACGGAAACTTCCACATGAACCCCAACATGATAAGGGCCCTTGATGGTGCTGTCTCCCTTCTTCCTGAAGCCATGTCTTCCCCAGCACTGGGACACACACTCTCCAGTTCCCTCCCCATCCCTCTATCTGCTTCTGTCCAATCTTCTTTGGGGGGCTCTGCTTCCTCTGCCTGTCCCTGGAATGTTGATGCAGCCCGTGAGTCTTTCCTGGGACGCCTCTTCTGTGCCGCAGCCTAGCTGATCCATCCACATAATAGCACTGGTGGGCTCAAGCTATCAATGTGCCAAAGTCTAAATAATTTTATATGGGTTGTCTTTCAGCCTTCTCCCCCTTTGTGATCCCCTTTCCTTCTTGCAGCCAGTCCTTCTGAACATTTTGGAGTTCTTGGAATCTGCCCTCTTCTCTCTCTCCTCTGAGTTCTACTCCCTCTGCTGTAACACTCTCCCTCTCCCTTCTCTCTCCTTGGTTCATTCCTTCTCGTCCTCCAAAGCCTCAACTTAGCTGTGACTTCTTCCAGGAAGCATTCCGTCCATTCAACCAGTGCCTGCATTAGGGACCCCTCCCATTGCACCCCATGCCTTTTGTATCCTAATTTGAACCTAACTATACAGCTGAATTGCTATCTGTGCCCTGCCACTCTAACCTCCATGAAAGCAGAGACCCCTGTGTTCCCAGCACATAGCACAGGGCATAGGGTAGGCTTTTTTGTTGAAATGTTTGTTGAAAGAATGAATGATGATCTCAGGTGTAGCCTAGGGGCACATGGACCCTCTGGACCAATCAAGCAACTATTCTAGCCATTCTTCCCAGGAGGAGACAGAAGGGCAAAGACAGAGAGAGGGTCTTCCCACAGTCTACAAATCTGTCCTCCCACATACTCACAGCAGTTTCCTAACATTCACGCCTCTATAAGCAAGAAGTTCCTCGTAAACTTTATCCATCTGAAAGAAATAAGACAACCGAGTTACTTCCTCACACATGGCTGGAGCCTGCAGCAACCCTGTTTCCTACCTTGGGGACAGGGAACCCATGTAATGGCTCATAGGAAGAAGGAAGGGAAAGAAGAAGGATGTCTTCTCTGCTCAAGATTTGGGTAGGGTGGGTCCAAGGATGATCACTTCTCAGAGAACCACCTCTCAGGATTTGGGAAGACTGAGAGGACCTGGGAGCCAAGAAGCTCAGATCACTCATTCAGGATGAGATGCTGCACACTCCTCTCACATCCAACTTCCTCCCTGGGGAACCTGGGCTTTCCCTGCTTTACCCGATCCTTGAAGAGTTTCTTGAAGTTCTGGAATTCTGTGGAGGATGTGTTTTCCAGGTCTCCCGTGAAATTCCTGTTAGTGACTTTCACTAACACTTCTACAGTAGCATTGATTTTTTCCGGGATTTCTGTGGGAACAGGCCACATTTTGCATGAGACAGCAACCTCCCAGGAATGTCCAAGAATTGATTACTGCTCTGCCTGTTGATCTCATAGAGGTAGCAGAAGTGAGCAGGAGAGAGGGTTGGAAACTCAAGAGGTGGGTAGGACGGCTAAGACTTCTGCTCCTTGTCTCCGAGGACCAGTGTTAAATTGAGGATTCCAGAAAGGATTCTGATAGAAATGCCCTGATGACAGGGACATATGAGGTGGGTCAAAGGAGTCAGAAGGCTGTGTTCTGACTGCAGTGTGGCCTGGAGCATAAGTCACATTATCTCCTCTCTCTGCAAAAGGAAGGTGTGGTAGTGTGTGATCTCTTCCAGCACTGCCATCCTAGTTTAGGTGGTTAAAAAATTTCGGGAAGATTTGAAGGTCTCAAAAAAATCATTAACCTACCTCGGACCTAGCCACCCTTTAAACCTGGAACTGAACTCACCCCTGTGGCTCAACATTCAGGCAAACAGTAGACAAGCTTATAAGTTGAACAATAACACCGAGAAGTACACATTGCCTAGAGTAACCAGCCATAGAAGATCAAAGGAAAGCATCTGTCCAGGGATGAAACTCAGGAGTAAGAAGTCTTAGGAAAGAAGGTCAGATGGAAATGGTAAACGCAGGGAGGAAGTGGGAAGGGTGCTGTTACATGTGTATAAATTGCTGAATGGAAAACCAACTTGATATGTAAACTTTCACCCAAATCACAATAAAAAGTTAAAAAACAAAAACAAAACAAAAAAAGCTCATTACCTATAGGGATGACATATAAGAGGGACTCGCACTGGTAACCAAAGAAGCCTTGTGGACAGACACACTTCTTTCCATCCCAGGTTGCCCCGTTCTCACAATAGCCTGTGGAAGGGTAGAATTCACACTGGTCACCAAGGAAGCTGAGAGATAAAAGCACTGATTCCTATTCTAGGTCCCATTATCCAGACATGGCACCAAAAGAAGGAGATGAGACTAGATGATCACACATGTAGCTGAGACCATTCTGTCCTCACCTCAGTCCCCAGGAGATAGTGAGGAAAGAAGGAGGTAAGCTCATTCAGGGAAAGGAAATGTGAAGAGGAACAACAGAGAATAAGGATACAAAAGATACAAGAGAACAAGCAAAAAAAAAGAGAGAGAGAGAGAGAGAGAACCTTATACATGAAAAGAGGACAACTTCCATGGTAGGGAAGACATGCACTGGTGATTAGAGAGCTGGATGGGTGGAAGAAAAAGACCACAAATAGGTCAAAGTCCATTCAGCTGCTGATGGAAGAGGAGGAGAGAATGCCGAGTATGTTTACAGTGAAAACTCCTTCCTGTCTTGTTTGGAGAGTGTGTTGTCAGGACAGTGAGGTAGGTTATAGTGCATGGAGAAAGGAGAGTTGAAGTGGTATTGAGCTGAGGGACTGGAGAAGAGCTAGAGTCAGGTGAAGGGGAGGACAAAGGAGGAGCTAAACCTGAAGTGGGAACAACCGAAGAAGAATCAGAGTCTGGCCTGGAGGGGCGCCCAGGGAAAACTGAAAGAGAAGCAGCAGGGACTGCAGTGCAGAAGCTGTGGGAGGACATTATTGGGGCTGATAAAGATGGGATGATTTGGAATATTGTAGATCCTTCACTAAGGGTAGCGGCTATTGTTCAGAGAAGGCTTTCATTGTAGAAACTGAAGTGGAAGCAAAAGAGAACGCAGAAATATGACTGTCTATGGCAGAGTTGAAAGAAGGAGGAGTGGTTGGCTTGGCAGAATAATTAGTGGTGATGAACACAGTGGAATCCTGAGAGTGCGGGTGCACATTTGTCCAGAGACAACAGTAGAGGAAAAGGAATGTATGGGGCTTCATGACAAAAACTAAGATTTTCAATAGTGTTGAGATCATCACATAAACCTATTGAGCTGAAAGGAATGGAAGTAGACGGAAAGACACAGGATTCATCAGAGCAGGCTGTGGCAGTGGGGAAAAGCAATAAGCAAAAACATCATAAGAACATAGGACTGCTACAAAAAAGATTATAAGAAGTACGAAGACAAATTAAGGATTTGGGCAAAAGATTAATCTTCGAATAAAAAGTTCATTATTCTATAAAAACAGAGGCAATATACAAAATCACAGAGTATAAAAAAATTCAAAACAACAGAAAAACAGAACTTTCATTGATATCAGAGAAAGAGTTGAGAGAAGAAACTAGGGATATGAAAAATAAGACATAGCTAGGTGGAAGATAAACACATTAAAAAAAAAAGAAGCTCTCTGACAAACGATAAGAAAAATGTGAGATAACCTGTCATTGATGCAGATGTAGAAAGTCCACTACCAAAAGTATACATAATTTCACTAGACATTGACATTAGAGACATGTCAGAAATGGTGGGAATGCCACTTGGGGCCGCCGTGAGACTGGTGGCCGTCGGTTGAGAAGGCCGGGCGGTAGGAGAGCCTTGGCTGGGACGAGACGGAGAGAGGGGAGTCGCCCCCTCGGTG